CTTGCCGTCTCATAAGTTTTTGTCAGTTTTGTTTTTATGTACAACAAATAAGGTCTAGTTACATTAAAAAAGTTCTTCACGAAGGTGAGTTTCTCCCAATGCTTGATCTAGGAGTTCCATTGTGTTCTGGGTTTGGTTCAAAATTACAAGGCTACGAACTACGAAATTGAACATACGCAGCTGCAAATCCGATTGTAATGAGCCCTTCACGTCGGTAATAAAATAGCAATAAATTAAGAATGTTAAAAAGAAGATGGCTGAATACACGAAAAATAATTTGAAAATAAACTACAATTAAAAATTTGATAATTACATATTTATTCCTCTGCAACTTTTTGATTGATATAGATATAACTTTGGATTTATTTGGTATAAAAAACTAAGTAAATTTACTTAGGGCAAAATTTTTATAAATAAAATAAATTTATTGAATAAAATAGCAAGCAGATATTTAAATTTTTTGCCTGAATAAATTATATTTAGGTAATTTTACAGGGTTGTTTCTTTCTAAGCATTTTAACGTTCGGAAATAATTTCGATTTTAATTTAAATCGATTCTTACCAATGAATTATTTAGCGGAGGGCAAAAATCCTGTAATTTCGCTAAGAAAAAAATAATTTGTTCTGAGTGATTCGTTTTTATTTAATTCACTATGCTCATAACAGCGATTCTATAATTTATTGTAAAGATCAGAATTAAGGAAAAAAATAATACCAGAAACCTGTGCTTATGATGATAAGGATCTTGCTTAGTAGCTCTAATCAGTTCAAGGTTAGTGACGGACGCATTTTTAACAAAAAATATAATAACTCTTTATCAGGCTTATTCTTTTGTAAGGAATCTTCTTGTCAAGCAGATAAGATTTTAAAACTGTTCGTTCGTATTCTTTTGATTTGTGTTCATTTTGTTAATATCAAAACAAGATTTCACTTCTCAAAATTCAAAGTTTATTTTATTTTCAGTAGTACTTTCAGTGGTAGTATTGAATCGAAAAGCAATCTGAGCACTTTAATGTTAACTTAACTTTTCGTCTTTTCTCCGAAACTATACAAATGAATTGAAACCTTTTTACAAGGAATTAAGAAACCCGATTATCCAAATATAATTCAATGTAAAAAAAAAATTATTAATTAAATAAATAAATAATAATAATAACTTTTAATAATTTTTATTATTTTATTAAACATAAGTTAAAAAAAAGTTTAATTATAATTGAATAAAAATTTTACGTAAGTTTAAATTTAATTTAAAATTTAAAAATACGACTTTATTTTAAATTTTATAACTCAGAGACTATTTGATCAATTCAGTATAAGTTTCGTATTGTGTCATTTACAATTAAGTGAATTTGTCTGCTTTGCAAATTAAAATGTTTGTAAATAAAAATTAATAAATGATAATAAAATTATTAATTGCATACATCTAATCTTTGGATAAACGAGTTTAATAAATGTGTGAAAATTTTTTTGATTCGCTTAAAAAGTTCCTGAGTTATGTCGAAATATGAAAAAAATGAAATCAACATTTTACCCTCCCTCTTTATTTTGACTGTCAAAAATTATAATTGGAGACCCCATCTTTCATATTGTGCTGGCTCAGTTTTTTGTTAACAAAGAACAAATATTTTTATTTTAATTTAATTTAATTTTCATTGTAAATATAAAATACGATAATATTCTCTAAACAACCCAATGATAAGTTTTCATCCTCTTGATGCCTTTTATTATCGCTCGAAATTTTTTGTTTAAATTCTGACATGCCCTTGTCCCGCAGTGAACTGATTGTTAAGACACGGTTCCCAGCAGATCACCGAAGTCACTGGCTGTGGTCAGTGTGTGACGTCAATGAACTACAACAACAACATACTCTCTCTCTATCTTTTTCTTCTTCTTTTTTTCAACATTTTTTGAAACAGTGACAGTAAAGTTGCCCGTGTGTAAAAAATTCTCGGGCGAAACATAAAAATCGAAACCGATTAAATTAGACTTCGATGAAGCAAAAATAAGCAGTCGAAAACCTATATATTCTATAAAAACAAAACATCGACTGTTGGCCAATAATATGATGAATGAAAAAAATGGTAGTGTATAGCGTGAGGATGCCTGTGAATCCTCAGGAAACAGGATGATCCCTCAAGGCATGTTTTCAAGCATGCGCAGTATACTAATCATAATGAGTAACGCCTCCTCCCTGTCCTTCCTAGTCAGATGACTATGCGATAGAAAATGGCGAGAAATAGCATTTCAAAAATGTGACTACTTCAAATTTATCCAAAACTAATCAAGGATTACATAGACTATACTTTATTCAAAATATTTATTATCTGCCTTTTCACTAGAAATTTATACCTGATCTTACCTTATAAATGATCATTTCTTTAAAATATTTGACTTACGAAAATCTTTATTTGATGTCAAAATGTGCAATGACTGGTGGATTACCAGAGGAAACCCGAATAGAGAATGATTTTTAAATTTAAATATGTTTATGCAATCCTTTGTAATAGTATTTAACGAGCATTTAATAATATATAGAGAAAAGGCAGCAATAAATATATAGAATAAAATATATTTACTACTCATAATACTGTGTTCCCTTTTGTTCACTCATTGACTCAATAGAATATTCATAAGATTGCCATAAATGACATAAGAAAAATAAATAAAAAAACATTTCATCAAAGCAATATATTATTTAAGCAATAATGAACTTCTACTCACTGTTATAAAAAAATACTTTATTTTCTTATAAAAAACATTAAATTTTCAGAGTTTATTTCTTATTCCCAAAAATTCGTTTGAAATTAAATATTTATATATAAAAATATAGGGTTTTTTTTT